AAGTTGAATGGGATTATCTATTCATAAGATATTCGCAAAAAATAATGTTTCTAATTAGTAATTACTTCTAATAAAAACTATTAAAATAAATTACAAGAAACATACTAATATTGTTATAAGTATTATTGAAGCTGTAACAAACTTATTTTTATTTCTTTATTTTATTGTCAAAATAAACGGACTAAAGGACAGGGGTTAATAACGTTTTTTTATAATTTAATGTAGGTATCTAAAAAATAGCAATATAGTACTTAAGTTCCTTTGTACATACTGACTACTAAAAGATTTTTTTGCTGATATTTTATGTATGTATAAAACTCATTTCATTTTGGAAAAAAGCTTTAAAAGAGCATTTTAAAAGTGTTTTCATTTTTTGTATGCTCTGTGGTTGGTGCTATTTGACATTTTAGAGTTAAGAGGTTAAAAGATTAGTGAAGGTGCTTTCAAAATTGCCTCAAAAATGTACCTTTTAAAAACAAAATTAACCTGTTTCGGGTTTTTTTTGCAATTTTTTTCTAAGATGGTTCGTTTCTGTATCTCATGAATGGATTTTTTTAAATAGCTAGTTTTATTCTCACCTGAGGATGACCACTTTGTGGTTGAAACGCGTTGTGTTTTAAATAAAAGTGGTGTGAGGGGTTTAATCGTGTCTTTGTTCATTATTTTTTACGTGGATTTATTACATTTGCCCCCAGAGATGCATGTTGTGTGTAAAAATAGTCGTCAATTTGGTTGTTTAACTCGACAGTAAGACCGAATTCTAAGCCCGGAAATCCAGACATTATTTTTTTGCTGCGAAAATTATCACTGAAAAAATTATGAAAGGAATGATTAATAAATAATTGGCACATTTTGTACTTTTCGGTAGTATTTTTAACGTAATTAAACATGCAGCAGTAGCCTTCGAAGGACAACCTTTGCTGGAAAAGATCACTGCAGTTTATTTGCTCATTTCCCCAACTGCAGTTTACGAGTAAATCGTCACAGGAAGGGGCAAGCTACAATTCATTTTTCATTTATTATCCAAAATGTGTTATTTGGGCACCCATTTTAGAAGATTAGGAGGTTTGAGGTGCTCGATATGGGGAAACTGTTCCAGGATTTTCTGGAGTGTTTCTAATTGTCGACTTTTGGTGGTGTCAAAATCGTAAAAACTCCCAATAGCTTTCATATACTTGTTGATCGTTTTAATACTGCGTCCGGTTTTTTCGGACCTTGAAACACAATTATTTTTTTTTAATTTACAACTCAACATACAGAAATGTGGCAAGAGTTGAAATCTTCCTTCTGCTGATTTTATTAAGGTTGCAAATTGCGATTGCTGGAAATGGTAATTCTGTGACTGGAAATGTTGTACTTTCTAATGATGTTACAGTTGGATTCGTGGTCAATTGCTCCCATAGTGTGTTAAGTAAAATAATTGAGAGTCCGATTAAGAGTAAGTTGACCCAAACCCATACAAATCTACAAATAGATAACAGGAACAATTTTTTTTATTATTATAGCTACATTGGTAAAAATCTGCTTTCGCTCCCTAGGTATTTAAAACTGTTAACACTAGACGTGTTAAGGAAATACTCTAACGAACTTCTTTCAATTGGACGTGTATTTTTACGCTTCATTTTTTCAGTATTTAGCAGGGTTTCAGGTTGTTGTTTCAAATGCTGCAGGAAGTTATTATTAATGTATAGAATTTGTTAAGTGTTTTTTGGACTATACACAAGCGGCTTACATAATTAATGTGAGATTTTGTGTAGTAAATACGAGTACTTTAATTTTAAACATGTTTATTATTTTTATTTTGTTTTTAAACTTTTTGTGTTACATTACTTTTTTAATTCTTTTTCTGTTTTGCGCCTGAAAAAAAGGTTATTATGCCATTTCAACACCGATTTGGGTGCTGAAATATATTAGTACAGAGGCTGGTAATAGTGATTTTAGAAGCGATTTCTTTTTTTTTTCAGGTTTCATTGTTAAATCAACAAAATTTTGAGAAATACTTAAGACTTGACACTTCAAAAATCGAACTTTCAAACTGTGTGACATTTATTACCAACCACAACCTTATTAGAGCAAACGTTTCTAAATTTTGAAAAATTGACTTTTACGTTAAAAAAGTAGAAAAAATAGCGTAAAAAACTTGTTTCATAAATCAAAACCTGAACTTGTTTCACAAAATTTGTCTTACGAAACGCGATCTTTTTATACTATTTTACATTTATTTTTTTTTAATACTATTAGAAATAGAAAAGTTGCAAGGACTCGACCAAGTCTCTCTGTTCCAGATAACTTAGGAAGATTATTTTTATTTCGAAAATTCTAATGATCAAAATGGGAAAAAGTTATAAAAGTTTGAGAGACAAACCGCAGAGGAAATCGGAGAGAAAACCTGGAGAAATCATGAAGAAATATTAATAAAAAAAAATTGGAATTATGGTTTGTCCCTCGCTTAGAGGTTGAGATTGGAGAAAGTAAATCAAATCATGAGTAAATTAGAGCAAATCATGAAAACATTAGAGGAAATTAGGGGAAATCATGAAAAAATTAAGAAAAATCTCCAAAAAATAAGGGGAAATCAATTAAAAAAAAATCTTGTGCACAAAATTAAGAGTTGTGGGTTACCCTCGCCCCGACGTTGCAAAATTGGGGAAATTAGAGAAAATTATGTTGAAATTTTGAGAAAATTAGAGATTATCAGGGAAATTATTGATAAATTTGCATACTTAAGATTTTTTTTATTTGTTGACAAATCCGAAGATTGAAGTTGCTGTTTACCCCTTGCCTTAAGGTTGCAAAACTGGGGAAATTAGGAGAAATTATGACGCAATTTAAAAAAAAACAACAAAAATTATTGTTAAATGCAAATGCGCAAATAATTTTTTCATTAGGTAAAATTATGAGAAATCATGAGAAAATTAAAGCAAAAAAATGAAATCTAGTGAACATCTGTGTTGCGGTTTACTCTTCGTTGAAAAGTTTGGGAAGTTTAAGATTAGAAAAAATTCTGCGATAAACTAAAAATTTGTCATTGAAACAAAAAAATTGAGCTAAAAATTGTTAGTCTCAACAGAAAACAAAAATTCGCTAGTTGGAATAAAATATTGTTATATAGAATAAAAATCGTTAAATAAACAAAAAAATCTCTCGTTACAAGAAATAATTGAGTAAAAAATTTGGAAAAAAAAATTTCCCAATGGAACAAAAAATCATTCGTCTGAACAGAAAACTGAGCCAAAAATCGCTCAATGGAACAAAAAATCGCTTGTTAGAACAAAAAATTAAACAAAAATTTTTGTCAAAATAGTGTTATTTTTCTAGTTTTACGTTTTGAAGCACGTTTTTGAACTAAAATCTCGTCGAAATACGAGTAAATATAATATTATCTTTGTTTTTTTAAGTGTTTAGCATGTTTTCAGCTAAAAATACAACTATTTCAAACAACCCGAAAAATCACATAATTAGGCCAAAAAAGATGTTATTTTTGCATTTTTTAAGCGATGAAGCACAAAAACGCAATTATTTCGCAAAATTTCGTAACAAATAAGTCGAAAAATTATTAAATGAAATACGAAAATGATAGTATTTTTGTTTTTTCAAGTATTTTAACATGTTTCTTGGATAAAAATTTTGTTAAACAATCCTAGTAAGTCAGAATTATTGGCATTTTGTAAATCTACTCTGATTTTAGAAAAGTGCCTAATGTTATAATTATTTTACCATTGTTATAAAATAAAATAAAAATAAAAAAAATAAAATAAAAATCAATTTTAAGAAAACGACAGCAAAAAAGCAAAGCAATATGAAGTAAATTAAGATAGTTAATTAAATAAAGTTGTGTTTATGTTTCATGATTTAACACATGTTTCATATTTTCCCAATGGTGTACGACGAAGATAAAAATTTTGGGATAAAAAAAATCGTTTGTCAGAACAAAAATTCTGCGTTAAACTTTTCTCATTGCAAAGAATTGAGCTAAAAATTGTTAGTCGCAACAGAAAACAAAAATTCGCTAGTTGGAATAAAATATTGTTTATATAGAATAAAAATCGCTAAATGAACAAAAAAATCTCTCGTTACAAGAAATAATTGAGTAAAAAATTATTCGTTGAAACAAAAAAAATTCCCAAGAGAACAGAATTCGTCTGAACAGAAAAGTGAGCCAAAAATCACTCAACGGAACAAAAAATCGCTTGTTAGAACACAATATTAAAGAAAAAAGTTCTTGATGGAAGAAAAAATTGAACTAAATTCAGCTTTATGAAACAAAAATTGCTAATTGGAATAAAAAGATTTATAAAAAATTGATCAAAAAATGTTAATATGGAGCAAAAGTTGCTCCTCGGAGCAGAACATTGAAAAAAAAATGTTATAATTCCATAATTTAGTTTAAGAAATTCAGACTATCGTCTTACTTCCAAAGTAAAAAATAAATTATTTCTAAAAAGTTTTTCAATCTATGCAAATAGCAGGCAGAGTTAAACATTTTCATTCTTTAACTTTGAAAGAAATTTGTACAATATTTAGTTTTAATTTTAGTTAGTGTGCTTTTTTATAATTTAAGTCATGTTGTCCTAACATTAGGCAAAAAATTATTAACTACAAACTACAAAAGCGTTTATCAGAAAAAAAATTTCTCGTCCTAACAAAAAATTGTTAGTCGGCACACAAAACAAAACATTGTTTGTTAGAACAAAAAAGTGCTTAATGGTAAAAAAATTAAAACATAAATCGCTCTAAAAAACGTTCATTTGAACGAAAATTCGAGAAGAAAAAAAACCTGTTTTTTGTGTGGAATTTTTTATTATTAAACAGGACTACATAATCCTAAGAAAAAGCTCATAATAATAATAATAATTAATTTTGCAGGTCTCTATTTGGAAAACTACATAACTAAAGATTTGCGAAACGTGACTCTCACAGTGTTGGAAGGCGAAGTATTTTACGAAGTAGAAGACGAGGAAACAAACCAGTCATACGGCGTAAAACTCGGTAAAAACGAAAGTATCCCAGTTGAAGTTGAAGTTTTCCATAAAGTACACACAATCAGTTCAACACCATCTTGTTACATGTATGTCTACATGAACAAAACTAGGGAATATTTAGGGGAATTACCCCAACCAAGTGACAATGACAGAGACGTAATGTATTCACCGTTTCCTCTAATCGAGGACGTCCAATTCAGAATTGACGCGTTTTTGCGCATGATTGGACACATTTCCAACTCATTCTTGCACGTATTTTACAATCAGCCTTTGATAAGGAGGACTAGACTGCCATTTTCATAATAAAAATGTAAAAATTTGGTGTTTTTCTTTATTTAAATAGTCCAAATGCAACATTCACAAAAATCATCGTCGAATTTAGTCTCTTCGAAGAGTTTGGAAGCTTTATGTGCACAAGAAACGATTATTTCTAACAAACTCACACAACTAGCGCCTAACATAAACCCAAATAAGCTCCCCAGCTTGCCTAAAATTTTTACATACAGGGTGTTGCAATGAAAACGGACCACCCCGAATATCTCAGAAACTAAAATGAATTTGCAAAAACGCCGAAACAGGTCGATTTTGTTTTTGAGGGGGACATTTTTTGACGTAATTTTTAAATCACCCCCAGTAGCCCTTTAACCCCCACGCACCCCAACTTTAAAAAATTAAATAGCACTACCCTACTTGTGGCACATCAGATGAAAGCTATTTTAACAAGCTTTTCAAAACTTTTTACCAAAATTGAATCAGACCATCCATTCATGAGATACAGGGTGTTCTAATAGAAATCAAAAAATGCAAAAAAAAAACGAAACAGGTGAATTATGTTTAAAAGGGACATTTTTTAACGCAATTTTACTAAAAAATGTACAATAGCACCAACCACTAGTGCTACAAAAAAAAATGAAAACACTTTTAAAATGCTCTTTAAAAGCTTTTTTCAAAATGAAAAGATTTTTATACATTCATAAAATATCGGCAAAAAACTAATCCTTCAGCAGTCAGTATGTACAAAGGAAAATAAAGAAATAAAAATAAGTTTGTTACAGCTTCAATAATACTTATAACAATATTAGTATGTTTCTTGTAATTTATTTTAATAATTTTTATTAGAAGTAATTACTAATTAGAAACATTATTTTTTGCGAATATCTTATGAATAGATAATCCCATTCAACTTTAGAAAAGAGGTTCAAAGAACATTTTAAAAACACTTTTATTTGATCTGTCGCAAGTGAGTCGGTGTCATTTGAAATTTCGAAATTGGGGTGGAAAAAGTTAAAAGAGGTGTTTTTAAAATTGTGTCAAAAAATTTCTTTTTTAATAAAAAAATTAACTTTTTTTGCAATTTTTTTCTAAGATTATAACTTTACCTTATACTCCCTCAATCACAACAGGTTTGAGTTAAATTTTCAAAAATCTTGACTTCCAACTCTGACAGAAGTCTCAAAAGTTTTCTTGGTATTCTTTTACCTTAAGAAAAGTCGGGGATTTATGAAATTAATTGTAAAGATTGTGGACAAAAATATATTGGTTTCATTTAACACTAGGTTTAAAGAACATAGCTCATTTAAGACATAACAGATTTGAAAAATCAAGTGTGGCACAACATATTTTTGAAAAAGACTTAAAAAGATTTAAAAATAGAAATAAGCTTACAAATTTTGTAAATCTACTCTGATGTGAGAAAAGTGCCTAATGATTAATATTATTTTACCATTGTTGCAAAATAAAATCGTTATGTGGGTGGCTAGTATCATGATTTAATTAATTCATATTTCATTTTTAAGAAAACGACAGCAACAAAGCAAAATGAAGTAAATTAAGATAGTTAATTAAATAAAGTTGTGATTATGTTTCATGATTTAAGTCATATTTCATATTTTCTTAATGGTGTACGAAGAAGATAAAAATTTTGGGATAAAAAAAATCTTTCGTCAGAACGAAAAATTCTGCGGTAAACTAAAAATTTCTCATTGAAACAAAAAAATTGAGCTAAAAATTGTTAGTCGCAACAGAAAACAAAAATAAAATATTGTTCATATAGAATAAAAATCGCAAAAATGTCTTTTTTAAAAACAAAATTAACCAGTTTCGTTTCTTTTTGCAAATTCTTTCTGGTTCGTTTTTATTAGAACACCCTGTATCTCATGAATGGATAGTCTGATTCAATTTTGATAAAAAGTTTTGTAAAGCTTGTTAAAATAGCTGGGGGTCCAAAAATGTCCCCCTCGGAAACAAAATCCACCTGTTTCGGGGTGGCTCATTTTCATTGGAACACCTGTATTGTGACTTACTTATTATTTCGAACCAATAGTTTTCAACGTCTTGTTTATAAATTGTTGCAGAAGGATCAACGTAATAAATATGCACAATACTGTTATTTCCAGATGAGCTACGAAAAAAAAATCGGTTTTAAGTCTAGTTTATTAAGCCCTTACGTGATAGAGTCAATATTTGTTGCTGTATTATACAAGAAACTCTCACAAACAGGCCAACATCTCTCACATCTTAAAGAATGATGAGCTTCCCAGAGTAGAGATGGTTCCTGAAATGCGTTTGGGGATGCTAAAGACTCCCATTTACCTGAAAATTTGAGTTTTATTGAGCCGAAACATGAAACAAATACTTCTGAATTTGTTAAGGCAATGGATTTCCAAAACCCCACAAACTTTAGATCGGTTTTGGGGGATCATAAATGGAACACAACCACATAATGCAATCATGCTTTTGATTCGACAGTCTACTAAACAATCGCTTTCGGAATAAAGCCCAAATGCAGTGGTTTTTTCAGTGTCAAAATAACACTTTCGCTAAAAAAAGACTCTTCATACTGAGTATTTTGAAAAAAAAATTAAAACCTTGTCAATTGGATAATTTTTGACCTCTGGAACTGACCAAAAACCAATTGTCTCGAGTTGCATAAACAATTGACTTGAAAAACCGACGAGTTGCTCAATTAACCCGCCACTGTTTTTATCAGGATAATCAACAGGATTAAAAATATGGATCTATAAAACGACAAAAAATTATTTTTTACGTGCTTCTTCTTGGATCCTCTTGGTATGGAAACGATGAACAAAAACACGATTAAACCCATCACACCAAACTTTTATTTCAAACACAATGCGTTTCAACCACAAAGTGGTCATCCTCAGGTGTAATTCTTCCGACTTTTGCGAATTCATAAGCTTATCTCTATTTTTAAATCTTTTTAAGTGTGTTCTTTAAACCTAGTGTTAACTGAACCCAATATATTTTTGTTCACAATCTTTAAATTAATTTCATAAATCCCCGACTTTTCTTAAGGTAAAGGATTATCAAGAAAACTTTTGAGACTTCTGCCAGAGTTGGAAACAACTTGGAAGTCAAGATTTTTGAAAGTTTAACTCAAACCTCTTGTGATTGAGGGAGTATAAGGTAAAGTTATATTTTTGACACAATTTTAAAAACACCTCCTTTAACTTTTTCCACCTCAATTTCGAAATTTCAAATGACACCGACTCACTTGCGACAGATCAAATAAAAGTGTTTTTAAAATGTTCTTTGAAACTCTTTTCTAAAGTTGAATGGGATTATCTATTCATAAGATATTCGCAAAAAATAATGTTTCTAATTAGTAATTACTTCTAATAAAAACTATTAAAATAAATTACAAGAAACATACTAATATTGTTATAAGTATTATTGAAGCTGTAACAAACTTATTTTTATTTCTTTATTTTATTGTCAAAATAAACGGACTAAAGGACAGGGGTTAATAACGTTTTTTTATAATTTAATGTAGGTATCTAAAAAATAGCAATATAGTACTTAAGTTCCTTTGTACATACTGACTACTAAAAGATTTTTTTGCTGATATTTTATGTATGTATAAAACTCATTTCATTTTGGAAAAAAGCTTTAAAAGAGCATTTTAAAAGTGTTTTCATTTTTTGTATGCTCTGTGGTTGGTGCTATTTGACATTTTAGAGTTAAGAGGTTAAAAGATTAGTGAAGGTGCTTTCAAAATTGCCTCAAAAATGTACCTTTTAAAAACAAAATTAACCTGTTTCGGGTTTTTTTTGCAATTTTTTTCTAAGATGGTTCGTTTCTGTATCTCATGAATGGATTTTTTTAAATAGCTAGTTTTATTCTCACCTGAGGATGACCACTTTGTGGTTGAAACGCGTTGTGTTTTAAATAAAAGTGGTGTGAGGGGTTTAATCGTGTCTTTGTTCATTATTTTTTACGTGGATTTATTACATTTGCCCCCAGAGATGCATGTTGTGTGTAAAAATAGCCGTCAATTTGGTTGTTTAACTCGACAGTAAGACCGAATTCTAAGCCCGGAAATCCAGACATTATTTTTTTGCTGCGAAAATTATCACTGAAAAAATTATGAAAGGAATGATTAATAAATAATTGGCACATTTTGTACTTTTCGGTAGTATTTTTAACGTAATTAAACATGCAGCAGTAGCCTTCGAAGGACAACCTTTGCTGGAAAAGATCACTGCAGTTTATTTGCTCATTTCCCCAACTGCAGTTTACGAGTAAATCGTCACAGGAAGGGGCAAGCTACAATTCATTTTTCATTTATTATCCAAAATGTGTTATTTGGGCACCCATTTTAGAAGATTAGGAGGTTTGAGGTGCTCGATATGGGGAAACTGTTCCAGGATTTTCTGGAGTGTTTCTAATTGTCGACTTTTGGTGGTGTCAAAATCGTAAAAACTCCCAATAGCTTTCATATACTTGTTGATCGTTTTAATACTGCGTCCGGTTTTTTCGGACCTTGAAACACAATTATTTTTTTTTAATTTACAACTCAACATACAGAAATGTGGCAAGAGTTGAAATCTTCCTTCTGCTGATTTTATTAAGGTTGCAAATTGCGATTGCTGGAAATGGTAATTCTGTGACTGGAAATGTTGTACTTTCTAATGATGTTACAGTTGGATTCGTGGTCAATTGCTCCCATAGTGTGTTAAGTAAAATAATTGAGAGTCCGATTAAGAGTAAGTTGACCCAAACCCATACAAATCTACAAATAGATAACAGGAACAATTTTTTTTATTATTATAGCTACATTGGTAAAAATCTGCTTTCGCTCCCTAGGTATTTAAAACTGTTAACACTAGACGTGTTAAGGAAATACTCTAACGAACTTCTTTCAATTGGACGTGTATTTTTACGCTTCATTTTTTCAGTATTTAGCAGGGTTTCAGGTTGTTGTTTCAAATGCTGCAGGAAGTTATTATTAATGTATAGAATTTGTTAAGTGTTTTTTGGACTATACACAAGCGGCTTACATAATTAATGTGAGATTTTGTGTAGTAAATACGAGTACTTTAATTTTAAACATGTTTATTATTTTTATTTTGTTTTTAAACTTTTTGTGTTACATTACTTTTTTAATTCTTTTTCTGTTTTGCGCCTGAAAAAAAGGTTATTATGCCATTTCAACACCGATTTGGGTGCTGAAATATATTAGTACAGAGGCTGGTAATAGTGATTTTAGAAGCGATTTCTTTTTTTTTTCAGGTTTCATTGTTAAATCAACAAAATTTTGAGAAATACTTAAGACTTGACACTTCAAAAATCGAACTTTCAAACTGTGTGACATTTATTACCAACCACAACCTTATTAGAGCAAACGTTTCTAAATTTTGAAAAATTGACTTTTACGTTAAAAAAGTAGAAAAAATAGCGTAAAAAACTTGTTTCATAAATCAAAACCTGAACTTGTTTCACAAAATTTGTCTTACGAAACGCGATCTTTTTATACTATTTTACATTTATTTTTTTTTAATACTATTAGAAATAGAAAAGTTGCAAGGACTCGACCAAGTCTCTCTGTTCCAGATAACTTAGGAAGATTATTTTTATTTCGAAAATTCTAATGATCAAAATGGGAAAAAGTTATAAAAGTTTGAGAGACAAACCGCAGAGGAAATCGGAGAGAAAACCTGGAGAAATCATGAAGAAATATTAATAAAAAAAAATTGGAATTATGGTTTGTCCCTCGCTTAGAGGTTGAGATTGGAGAAAGTAAATCAAATCATGAGTAAATTAGAGCAAATCATGAAAACATTAGAGGAAATTAGGGGAAATCATGAAAAAATTAAGAAAAATCTCCAAAAAATAAGGGGAAATCAATTAAAAAAAAATCTTGTGCACAAAATTAAGAGTTGTGGGTTACCCTCGCCCCGACGTTGCAAAATTGGGGAAATTAGAGAAAATTATGTTGAAATTTTGAGAAAATTAGAGATTATCAGGGAAATTATTGATAAATTTGCATACTTAAGATTTTTTTTATTTGTTGACAAATCCGAAGATTGAAGTTGCTGTTTACCCCTTGCCTTAAGGTTGCAAAACTGGGGAAATTAGGAGAAATTATGACGCAATTTAAAAAAAAACAACAAAAATTATTGTTAAATGCAAATGCGCAAATAATTTTTTCATTAGGTAAAATTATGAGAAATCATGAGAAAATTAAAGCAAAAAAATGAAATCTAGTGAACATCTGTGTTGCGGTTTACTCTTCGTTGAAAAGTTTGGGAAGTTTAAGATTAGAAAAAATTCTGCGATAAACTAAAAATTTGTCATTGAAACAAAAAAATTGAGCTAAAAATTGTTAGTCTCAACAGAAAACAAAAATTCGCTAGTTGGAATAAAATATTGTTATATAGAATAAAAATCGTTAAATAAACAAAAAAATCTCTCGTTACAAGAAATAATTGAGTAAAAAATTTGGAAAAAAAAATTTCCCAATGGAACAAAAAATCATTCGTCTGAACAGAAAACTGAGCCAAAAATCGCTCAATGGAACAAAAAATCGCTTGTTAGAACAAAAAATTAAACAAAAATTTTTGTCAAAATAGTGTTATTTTTCTAGTTTTACGTTTTGAAGCACGTTTTTGAACTAAAATCTCGTCGAAATACGAGTAAATATAATATTATCTTTGTTTTTTTAAGTGTTTAGCATGTTTTCAGCTAAAAATACAACTATTTCAAACAACCCGAAAAATCACATAATTAGGCCAAAAAAGATGTTATTTTTGCATTTTTTAAGCGATGAAGCACAAAAACGCAATTATTTCGCAAAATTTCGTAACAAATAAGTCGAAAAATTATTAAATGAAATACGAAAATGATAGTATTTTTGTTTTTTCAAGTATTTTAACATGTTTCTTGGATAAAAATTTTGTTAAACAATCCTAGTAAGTCAGAATTATTGGCATTTTGTAAATCTACTCTGATTTTAGAAAAGTGCCTAATGTTATAATTATTTTACCATTGTTATAAAATAAAAAATCAGTTTTAAGAAAACGACAGCAACAAAGCAAAGCAAAATGAAGTAAATTAAGATAGTTAATTAAATAAAGTGATTATGTTTCATGATTTAAGTCATGTTTCATATTTTCCTAATGGTGTACGAAGAAGATAAAAATTTTTGGATAAAAAAATCGTTTGTCAGAACAAAAAATTCTGCGGTAAACTAAACATTTCCCATTGAAACAAAAAAATTGAGCTAAAAATTGTTAGTCGCAACAGAAAACAAAAATTCGCTAGTTGGAATAAAATATTGATAGAATAAAAATCGCTAAATGAACACAAAAATCTCTTGATACAAGAAATAATTGAGTAAAAAATTATTCATTGGAACAAAAAAATTCTCAATGGAACAGAATTCGTCTGAACAGAAAACTGAGCCAAAATTCGCTTGTTAGAACACAACTTTAAAGAAAAAAGTTCTTGATGGAAGAAAAAATTGAACCAAAAATCAGCTCTATGAAACAAAAATTGCTAATTGGAATAAAAAGATTTATAAAAAATTGATCAAAAAATGTTGAGATGGAACAAAAGTTGATCCCCGGAGCAGAACATTTGAAAAAAAATGAAATGTTATAATTCCATAATTTAGTCTAAGAAATTCATTCTATCGTCTTACTTGCAAAGTAAAAAATAAATAGTCTCTAAAAAGTTTTTCAATCTATGCAAATAGCAGACAAAGAGTTAAACATTTTTTTTTAAATTCTTTTTAATTTTAGTTAATGTGCTTTATGATTTAAGTCATGTTTTCCTAATATTAGGCAAAAAATTATTAAATACAATTTCATCTGTGTTGCGGTTTGGGAAATTTAAGATTACAAAATGTAGAAATAGGACATATTTTGTGTTTTATTAAAAAAATTATATACATAAAAATAAGTTGAAAACTACCAGTATTTACAGAGTATTCTTATCGACTCGCCACTTCGTTTTTACTCACAAACCTCGCCTTTTTTCTTCTTCTTAATAAATTATTGTCATTTTGTACAATATCAACATCGGTGAGTAAAAGCGTCGTTCTTGGCGTCATAAATAAATAATCGACTTATTACATCTTCTCAGAAATAGTATCTAACACAGTTGTTTGATGAGGTAAGAAAGTTTTACTACTATCTGAGTTAATATTAGCTAAAGGATTCACAGTAATATTCGTCTCTGTCGGTTTCTTACACCGCCCTTCGAGAAAATACGTCTCCATCGTCCCCTTCCCCTTGACCTGGATCGTGCCTCTGCACGCCAATGGGTATCCTCGGGAGCTCAAAATCTGGTACACTTCCTTCGTCACCTAAAAACACTTTTTTTATCCGCAAAAACGCAATTTTAACTCACTTGAATCTTATCAAGAACGCCGGTGCTGTCCATACGACTCGCCACGTTAACGGCATTGCCCCATATGTCGTATTGGGGCTTCCGCGCCCCAATCACACCAGCCACCACAGGCCCCACATTAATCCCAATCCGGATCCGGAAATGATTGAAAGAATGCTCGTTCACTTCCGCTAGTTGCTCTTGGATTCGGAGAGCGTAGTCGGCCATGGCGGTCACGTGTCGGTAGCCCTGCATGTCGCAGGTGTTTTGGGTCAATCCTACAGGAAAAAATCTCATTTATAATAATAATAATACTTAATCCCTTAAACAAAACAAAAAGAAAAATGAAAAATTGCATTACAGTTTAACTAAAATTAAGTAGAAATAACAGGAATTAAAACAATAAGAAAATAACAAAAAGCAAAAGTAAAAAACTAGAAGTTTAAAAAATATATTTTTATCATTTTGCGAAAATTGTTCACTGAAAGTTTTTTTTTAATCAAATATTGCTTTTTTAAACTTTGGTAATGACAACGAACAGAAACTTGATGACAACTTTTTCTCGAATGAAATATTTCACATTTTATATATGAACAGTGACAAGAAATAATTGTACAGAGTGGTTATAAATGATTTTCATCTAGCCAGCTTTGGAATTTTTTTGCATGTAACTTTATTTGTGCCGCTCTACTTTTTTTGAAAGCTCTGTCATTAGTGTCACATAAGTGACACTAATAATAATTAATAATAAATTGTTGTTAATTAAACTTTTATTGTTTCAACTAATTTCCAATAATAATTGATAATACTGTATATTTTGGGAGAAAACAAGTTTATAATCGAAGGCTATTTTCGAAGTGGACGCTTAGTAAACGGCGATTTTTTAATTTTTAAGTTAAAACAAGTAGGTACCCCTATCTTCGTAAAGCGGCATTTTTTATTTTACATGGGAAATTCACAGCTGGCTAGATGAAAATCATTTATAACCACCTTGTATATTTGGTCCACCGGCAGCCAACCACGTGCTTTTAGTTTTTGAGATTCTTGGTCAAATTTTCTTTATTTGTAAATAAAACGAGAACACGAATTTAGTATTTTTTGTAATTCATATTTAGATTGATAATCTAAAGATGAATAATAAATGATGAGACCATAATTAAGGTTGGAAAGCACCAATGACTCGCATAGTTTTTTAATTCAATATGTGATAATTGGAATCTAACATTTTTAATGCAATACAAGCCCTCTTTACAACCAAGTTGACATGATTTTTAAATCGTAATTCCGAATCCATTATAATTCCAAGATTTTTTACACTGTTTGAGATACCTATTTCCATATTACCAATTTTGAGATTAATTTTCGAGTTGATTTTTTTAATTATAATTGACTTTTCATACTGTAAAGAGAAAAAAGCATATTTGACTGCTACAAGTAGAAAAAATAGATAAAAAACTTTAATGTTGATGATGTCAATCAATAATTACTTTTTGTCAATATTTAGTAAGCCAAATAATTTTTGCTTGAAGGTAAAAAATTTAACGCAAACATTTCTTTTCGTCTTCTATTGCTGAAGTTCAACAGATAATTGATGATTTAAAATCAAATGCTCTTGGTGTTGACAACATTTCAGCAAAAATGTTGAAATTATGTTCACCCATATTGACGAAATGGATTACTCATATTATCAACTGCTGTATTGAAATTGCATATTATCCAGAAGTGTGGAAAACTGCTTTGGTGCGTCCTTTACCCAAAATTAAAATTACTAATTACCTGTCTTATCAAAAATTTTAGAAAAAGTCATTTATAAACAGGTTTACAATTATGTTGTTTCTGAAGGTATTATTACAAATAAACAATTGTACCCATCACAGCTCTCGGAAAAATTCTTGATGATTGCTTTAGATAAATGTGATGACATTGTGACATTGTTGGATTTTTCTAAAGCATTTGACACCTTAGATCACTCACTTTTATGTGCAAAATTATCTTTGTATGGTTTGACAACATTTCAACATTTTTTCATTGGTATATTACTAATAGGAAAGAAATTGTTACAATAGGTAGTGTTCCGCAAGGTTCAATTTTGGGACCACTTCTATTTTTAATATATAGCGCAGAAATATTCTGTACTATCATTGTGATCCTGATGATGTAGAACAAGCTTGAAACTTTATTAATCAAGATCTAAATGAAATTTTCTTATTGTCTAAAAGCATTGGTTTAAATTTAAATTCGAGTAAATTTTCAACAATTTACATTTCCACAAGAAATAAAAAATTCAACTCGAAAATCTCAGAATTGGTAATATGGAAGGTACCTCAAACAGTGTAAAAAATCTTGGAATGTCAACTTGATTGTAAAGAGGTCTTATATTGCATTAAAACTGTTAGATTCCAATTATCACATTTTGAATTAAAAAACTATGCGAGTCATTGGTGCTTCCCAACCTTAATTATGGTCTCATCATTTATTATTCATGTTTAGATTATCAATTTAAATATAAATTACAAAAAATACAAAATTCGTGCTCTCGTTTTATTCACAAATTAAGAAAATTAAGAAAAAAACTTTCAGTGAACAATTTTCGCAAAAAGATAAAAATACATTTTTTGAACTTCTAGTTTTTTACTTTTGCTTTTTGTTCTTTTCTTATTGTTTTAATTCCAGTTATACTTAACTAGTTTTCTTAATTTTAGTTAATAAACTGTAATGCAATTTTTCATTTTTCCTTTTGTTTTGTTTAGGGGGTTAAGTATGAATAGGAGTTGCTAGACTTTGCCTCAATAAAGCGGCTTTTTTATTATTATTATTATTATAATAAATCTACTGACCAGAGGCCGCCATGTAGGTGGCTCCCGTTGATTTAATCTTCTCGATGTACTTGAATTGGTCTTCGGAGAGCAGCTCATCGAAGTCAGCGATAATCTCGTTTAAAAGTCGCAGACATTCGACTCCTTCGTTGTTGCCTTCGAGTTCGACATAAAATTCGGAGAAATTGGGGATTGAAGCAAACATGATGCAGACAAAATCGCATTGTTCGTGGTAGAGTTCCTGTTGAAGCGAGTTTTAGGAACGGTTTTGATAGTTTTGATAGTAACTTACGTCGTTATTTTTATCGCTGTTGAGGAAATGCTCAGCGACATGAACTGGCAAGATATTAGCGAGTAATTTACGGTTGTACGCTTCTAAGTGTTCCATGTCTTCTTTTTCCTCTGCAAAACAAAAATTAGAGTTTTTCATCTAAAATTAATATTTCTCCATTAGGGCTGCTTTTACGGTGTTGAGTAGACACCTATTTAGCTTGTTAATAAAATATTCAAAAGCTCTGCTGTTTTCTCTACGAAGTTATGAAATATAAAGACGAGAAACGGGGAGGAATGTGCGAAGTAAATTACCGGTTGGACTCCACATTTATACAGGTTATTAATAAATGACAAACTAAATGAAATAATTTTGAAAGCACTTTATAAAAAAATATTTTTTATTTTATCACTTTTTAATTTTTTTTAATTACATAAATTACTACATTCAATAATTAATTAAATTAATTAAATTAAAGATTCAATATGCTCCAGCAAATTGGTAAAGTTTGTTATTGACCTTTAAATGTTAAAATAGAAAAAATGAAGGACATTGATATACATACCAGGTATAAAAAGTATGGAACCAAACGTTTTTTGCTTAAACTATTTATTTTTTGAAAAAACTAATTGATGAGTGATAAAGTACTATAAAAATGTGATGATTTAACAAGAATAAAATTTTTCGAAATTTCCTTTTGTTTTTGAGTTCTACAAAAAAAATTAATACTATATACTCTAATACTATACTCTAAGGATTACAACTATCTGCTTTATATTTAATTCGTCAAAAAATTTTTTTCACATAAATTGCAATTTTGACAAAAAAAATCGCATAACTCAAAAACAAAATAAAATTTCGTTCTGAAAATACGATCACATTTTTTATATTACTTTAATTTATATTAATTATTATTTTCTGAAGGCAAATGAATAAATAAAACCGCTTGGTTCCATACTTTATATTCACCCTGTAGATATCAATCTAGTGCAAATTTTAAAAATAAAACACCATTTTTTATATATCTTGGCCTTTTTGAAAGAAACTTTTTATTACAATATTATTGATCGATTTTGCGCGGTTTGTTTTGCAGAAAATATAATTTATTATACAAAAACTAAGACAAGAAAATTTTTTTACTTCAGCAAAGAAGAAAGTACAAATTTTAAGAGTATAACAGTTTTTAATTGCATAAATGTAGAATTTTGTAAAAACTTAAGTAGTTTGCGTGCAACATCCTGTTTTTTATTTTTGCAACTAATGGATTTTAAATTAAATTTAAAAACATACCTTTAAATGTCTTAAATCTCTTAGAAGCAAAATCAACAAATAGGGTATTCCATTAAAATTTTTAAGGTATTGAACTTTTAAAACTTCTTAATTTTTTTATCTTTACAAACGGAAAACACAAAAAATGTTGTAGTCTTAATTATTTTCTTTGCAGTAACAAAAAAATTTGTAGAAAACATGTTGAATTACAAACGTCAGAGTTACGTAGAATAAAAGTTTATTTTAAGGAGTATTCTTCTTATGGGAATTACAATGTAAAATATCTCGGAAACTAACTGGAATTTTTACTTAATTTTTTTTTTAAATAAAAGATATGTGTCATATGCAAGAGCTCAATTTTAGCTTTTTCCAAAAAAGGTAGTTATTAAATTTTTATCGAATTAAATGTAATTTTTTTTTAATTCAGCCCCTATCAAATAATGTAAATAAGTAATACGCAAAATATATCTTCAAAATATTGAAAAATGTAAAAATGCCACAATTGCGAAATAATCCCGATATTTACTTTATCGTTGAGGTTTTAACACAATTTTTACATCAGTAGGTACCTTTCTAAAGTAATAAATAAAATTAAAAATAATAATAATAAATGTAGTAAGTACATTTATTTTTGCTCATGTCGAGTTTGTCAGATAAAAATCTTTATTTTTATAACAGGCAATTTTCAATAGTCATTTGTTTTTGAGTCACGTTATCATGACATTTTTAAGAATTGTGAATGAAAAAACAAATTTTTTACGAAATCATTTGTACAAAAACTTGTAAATTAGTTTCCTGCTCACAATAAATTGCACTAAATCTGATGATTACTTAAATTTGTCTTAATTTTTTTTTTTGTAGTAGTTCATAATAATAAGGTAACTGGGTGAAAATTAGTTCAGGTGGGTGCAGTTGTGAGGGAAACACGTGATGTTTGTCAGAAGAGAAAGAAGTGACAATTTGCAAAAAATGTCGATATTATTGTCACAACTGAAATATCGTTTTACAACAATCAAAACGTTTTAATATTAATTTAAAAATAATTGCATATTTAGATAAACAAACAATACAGAGAAAACAATTATAATACAGTGCGATCAAAAAGTCTTTCTATCACGTAAGCGTCCTAAATGAGCATTTCGTATTTTAGCTAGATGTCAAAAAATTATTTAATAATTTAATATTTCCAAAAATGTTTCCAACATTATCTAAAAATTGTTTTAAAGAAAATTGTCAAAATTAACAAAATGTCAAAATAAATCTTTATGTAGTTATAATTATTGACGACGTGTTTTATGGAATACACTTCTCTTGGCATTTTGTCAATTTTAATATTATTTTGACAAATTGCTTCATAATAATTTCTAATTTAATATTAAAATTAAAAACAACACGAATTTTATAGTTCCTTAAAAATCTGACCATTAAATTTTAAACTACGACTTTAATTTTAAATTCGAATTTAATTACGGCTGAAATAAATATAAAATAAAAACAAGACCAAATTCATAAATGTGTAAAAACCCAAGCACCAGATTTGGCTCAAATTATTTGAACGAAATAATATCTCGTTTACTGTTTTCCCCACGTCGATTCTTTATTTTTCCCAACGTCAACAAAAAATTTACCGTTAGCTTTTGGGTAGAATCCCCTTAAATCAAACTTGCATAAAAATTGTTTTTGTAGATTTTTTTGACTTTTTGTCAAGTGCATTTTAATTAAAACAGTGGTTAATTCGCGTTATAAACAATTATGCAACGTCGCAGAAAACGTAAGTGGGTCACGTTGCTTGTCTTTGTTTGAGCAAAGCTCCAGAATGTGTTTACCTACCTGTAGCTTGTAATTTCCAAACGAAATCCAATCTATAAGTGGCTTCTGTTTGTTGGCCGTGTAATATTAGCGCTATTACGAAGCCTACCAATATCACAATGTTAACATATTGTTGTGTCAAAGTCGTTTCACTGCAAACAAACCACATTAAGAAAATTGAAAGGAGAAATTTTGGCTTTTGGGTTTCCTCTTACCTTTGTTTAGGTATGCAAAAAAACTTGTGCATAGCGTGCACCTCTTTGGTGTATGTTAAATAAGCTGCAATAAATCCGGCCATTCCACCCAACAGAATGATTGTCTTGAAAAGTGAAATAAGGACTTGATAAACGGCGCACGCAATCATCGAGATAAAAACAAGAAGTAAGAGATACTAGAAAAGAGAATTATTCGGTGATTCAGTGAAAAAATTTCACTCACATCTATCAAAAAGTAAGGTTTGCAGTCTTTGTTTTCGTTATTCAACGAATAAACAGTAAAGTTCGTACAATTACTATCGACAATGGTTGAATTCAAACATTGAATTTCTTCAGGAAGTGATAGCTTGACAAAAAATAAAAATTAATGCATTTTTGAGATTGATGATGGAGATAAAACTTACCGTATGCAACATAACTAAGCCATATATACAAACAGCCATTATGAATGAAAATATTTGAGCAATGTTTCTATTTTTGTGGATGTATTTTGACACTGCGAAAATTTTCAAGTGGATGTTCTGAAACCAAACTGGGCTATAATATAAGTGGACATTTTTCAAATACAAACCTCTAAATTGACATTTTCCATGTATACTATTACAGGAATTAAGATCAAAAGAAAGATAATTGGAATTGAGCACAAATATGCCGTGTCGTTCCTGAAAATATTGAATTGTTTTCATGAAACGATGCAAATTATTCAAAATAATGGACATTTGTTTTGATGTCAAATATGTATAATAACATTAACAATATTAACTTTTAAATCCCTCTTTATGTACATTTGCATTATCTAATTGATTTTGATTGAATTTTTTAATAAATCATTAAATTTAATTTAAAATACAAACATTCATGTTTAATATTTCACAATTGAAGGGGTGAGTGGATGAAGGTGTTATGCGAAAACTGGTATTTTTTTAAAACAATTTTTTTCGCAATATTCTTTTATTATAAAAGACTTTTAAGTGTTTCTTTAAGGAATGAAATTACCAAATGCTAAAAGCGTTATGTTAACTTGGATTGAAGAAACAGTGGATAAAGTTGTTAAAATATGTGTAAATAAATAATATTAAATAAATGTTAAAAAAGCACAAATAACCATATTTTTACTTAATTCAATTACTTTCCGACATATTCTTGACAAAATTTTGCGAAATAAATGCGTTTTTTATTGAAAAATGTTTTAAAAGAGTCGAAAAGAGCACAAATTTTGTCGTTTTTTATCTAGTTTGGTATATGTATTAATTTTTTMGTGTGTTTTTTAGCAAAAATTAAAGAAGAAAATGTTCTTTTAGACTTAAAAACGCAACTAAATGTTTGAAAAAAAGCAAAAATAACATTATTTTTGAATTAATTAATTAATATTATTATTTTTGACGAAGTTTTGTGATTTTGATTGAAAAGACTGATAAAACGTTTGGAAAAGCAACCAGATGATTTTTCGGCTCAAAAAATGCTTAAACTCTCCAAAGAAGCAAAAATAATTTTAGTTTCGTTATAGTTTATTCATTTTTTAACTCATTTTCGACAAAAATTTTCAAAATAATTGCGATTCTGACTAGAAAACGTTCTAAAACGGAAAAATGGTATTTTTGATTTTTTTTTAGCACAATCTAAAAAAGTAAAAATAACGCCATTTTTGAGTAAATTTAGCGATTTGTGACGAAATAATTTTGTAAATGTTTAATTGAAAAACGTGCAAAAACGCCCAAAAAATCATAAAAAGGTCATTTCCAACCCAATTTGGTTATTTTTCAATATGTTTTAACAGAATCTTACAACAAACATGATGTAAACAAGCAAAATTCATTATTTTTCACTTAATTTGGTGACTTTTCGGTATATTTTTGTCTAAATATTTCGAGATAATTCCGTCTCTTATAGAAAAATTTGGTGTTAAAATAGAAAACCGTTTTTGAAAAGTCGATGAACCAACTTCAAAATTACACCTAGTAAACAAGAAAAAAATCTTTTAAACGATAATGTGAATTTTCGGGACAGCATAAAGTGGACTTTTTATATTGTGTCGTTAGAATTTCATTTATAAATGTTTTGTTAAACTTGAAATATTTTTATAAAGCAATAATTATCACAAAGTTTATATTAGAAAATAAAGCTTGTTTTTTTGTACATAACTCTTTTATCAATCTTTTAATAACATAAACTAATACATTATAGATCATGTAAATTTGATCGTTAAAAAATCTATAAAAAACATAATTACTTAAGTTTTGTTCTAACAAGAAAATAATATTCACATAGGCCTTTATATATCATGTGATTTTTTTTACCAAAAACAAATTGGAAAAAAGTACAAGTAGATTATATTAAAATGCCTATAACTCCAAATATGACACCTTTATCCACTCGCCCCTTCAATTTAAAATGTGAAAAAAATTTGAAAGCCAGTGTTTTTGCTCACCTTCTCATCACGACGATTTGTACTAAAAAAATCGCAGTAAAACAGAATGTGGAGCAGAAAAAATACAAAGTGAGCATCCTGTCCTTCTCCAAAATGTACTGCAACGACACAATATGAACAAAGCTGGAAAAAACGAACAGGTGTACCAACTTTAGCCTCCTTGACTGGATCACGAAAATGGAGAAGCAACGTCCGGCAATGTTCAGTCCTTAATCTGTCTATGCTGCGAGCATCAATAGCTCTCATCAAATACTCGTTCACTTCATCTTCAGGGTTTTTCTCCCTTTCAGGAGGCTCGCTGAAACCCAGTCTGAAATAGACGTACTAATTAAAAAACCGTTTTGATCGTTTGTAAAGAGCGCCGTTTTGAATATTTTAAATGTCAATGTTTAAAACCATTATTCAGATATTGCTCTCATTTGGTTACGAAGCTGTCGGCTTTTTTGCTTGTTACGAAACTGAGACTTAATTCAAGCCCAATGCACCTATTGAGTTCCTAACGAGCACATTTGGGGATGAAAATAGAACAGAAAAAAGTTCATTCATTCAGCAATTTGCTGAGGTTCAGATTCATACAAATAAATAAAGTTTCGCTAATTAATAAATGTGCAAAAATGCCTCAAAATTGTCATTTAGCTCAAATTTAATTAAATTGTTTGTTAACGCAAGTATAAAATAATTGAAATTTTAATTAGTAACTAAAATAAATCGTTCATTAATCGTTTAATAATAATAATACTCACAATAGAACGATAAATTCTTCTTTATTAAATGAGTAACTTTCTTCTCCATAATTTCTTTTTAATTCCAGCCTGTTTAGGAATTTGAAATACCCACCAAGAAATGTTTAATTTTTGACAATGAATAATAAAAAAAAAATGTAATTTATAAATAACCTCGTTTATTCAGTGTCCATTGACATTTTTTTTATTTGTCCATTTTTAATTTTTTACATTCTGAATTTGTGCAATTGAATGAAATTTTTTTGATATTTTACTTAAAAAAACAAAGTTACGTTGCTTTGTTAAAAAGAAAAGTTTTAATGAAACTTTACTAGAAAACTAAAACTCATTAAACTTTGACAAAGTATATAGTTTATCTAGAAATTAAACTCTTCGCTTTAATTTATATAAAAAGACGCTTGCTAAACTAATTTAAAACATCAAATATTCACTTTGTATCCGTCTGAGCTTTATACTGAAATACTGAAAACTATATAACTCTCTTTACTGAAAGTGTAGACACAAATATTTTTTTTAACTGGTTTTGGGTCAAAAATGACAAAACAAGACTCTTTGTAGAAAATTATTGTTTTAATTTCTGATAAATGGGTTGATAAAAACTCAGGATTATTTTAAAATAGGCTTTATTCTTCGACATTGTCAAAATTTACGGTTTTTCTCCCGTGTGTTTTGACAACTATTTGGCATTTCTCAATACGATTGTTCTGTGATTTTTTTGGGAGTGATTTTTGCTTTTTTTTCTCTGTCAAAATTAGGGAAACCCGGCAAAATAGCTCCTGAACCAACTTTCTCTTTTTTCCTGGAATTATATAAAGGAACCTTGGAATTAAGGCTTACACTTTTATTTATTTCCATTATAAATTATATTTTATGAGCTGTTTTTTTAGAACAAAGTAATCTAGTTACGAATTTATAAAATTATATTTGAATTTTTAACAAAATTGCTTTTTTCCCGATTCAAAATATTGATAGTATGCAAATGTAAATCCATTTTGTCACATACATTTCACTAATATTAGAAATTTAATTTAACAAGAGGATATCCATCAGAAGGTGCGAAACTAAATTAAAAAAACTAATACTTGGTATTTGCATTTTTCTCAATTTTCAAATAATTAATTTTGGTTTGTTTCTTTTAATTTCGATGACTCAAAATAGAAAGATAAATAGATGGTGACGCTACAATGATAGTTATAATAAAATGAATCGGAACAAAGAAAAAATATATTACATAATTTATTAAAAATTATTATTTGAAATTTTTGCAATTTTTAGTCTTTTTACAGAAAATTACAAAATCACAGTTCTCAAACTAGCCAGTTCCAAAATGTACCACCAGAAAAATTTGTCGCTTGTGTACAGACGAAAAGTCGTTAAAACAAGTTTTCAAATGAAAAAAAGAAAAATTGAATTTTTAAGAAATACAGTAAACATTTTTTTTACAATTGGATGTTGTCCCTGAATTAAAAAAGTACCTCACACACACAGTAACACAGAGTTTTTATTTCATTTTGACTATTTGTAATCGATTGTAAAATTCAATAGTTTGTATTTTTTTATGAAAAAACGCATTATTTAAATTGCATGAAAAAAATACAGTAACATAAGTAGGTAATCTACAATACACCAAAAATAAATCAAAAAATTCTTCTGTACTTACAGTTTTTTTTTTATAAAAAAAGAAAAAGGCCAAAAATAGAGGTTTTAAAATTATTTTTAAACAGCACGGACAAAAAATTTCAAATTAATATATAATGCTACTAAGGCCATCAAAAAGTTATGATAATTTTTTCAGAATTTTTAAGTAACGATTTGTATCTGTAAAAACCACGAAACTACTTACTTGGACGAATGCTTTCCATGTTGTGATCCATGCCCCATAACCCTCATCTCCTTGGAGATGTTCCCATTCATGGAATGATTCTGGTAGGGCGTCGAGCCCTGAAAGCACCTCCAGTTACACCGTCAATCAATTTTTAAAACTTTCAAACTAAATCAATAAAAAAAATAATACCAAAAAATCCAATTTGCTCACCCCTCTATACGACGGCGCTACAATTAAGTACGTGTCAATGTTGTGATCTTTGAGATAAGAATTGCGGTCACCTCCGTTGCCTGGCTCCACGACGTAATCGTTGCCCAAACATTTCAGTGTTTCTTCGGTAATATGGACGCGTCTACGAGGCCAAATTTATTACGAAAACACTGTAATAGAGAGGAGAAGATTGCTTACCCTGGAATGCCGCCGCTTTCCATGTGATTGGCTAAAGTGACGTCGTTCGACCACACGTCAAATTGCCATTTGCGAAGTCCTAAAACCCCGCAATGGACGCGTCCAGTATGGATTCCAACCCGCATATTCACGTTGACTGACATCACTTCACGCACCAAACTGAGAAAAGACAAGAAAATTTAATCACAATGTCGAACGGTGCGAGAGAAGGGCTTGTTTTAGACATTTGAACGAAAAAATCTGCTGTGAACATCACACGACTTTCCTTACCCTACTTATTTTATCACATTTTACTGTTTAATAAGGTATATTTCATGATTCTAAATAATTTTTATCCCCAAGAATTTTTTAATAAATGATTAAATTTAATTTAAATTACAAACATTGATGTTTAATATTTCACAATTGAAGGGGTGAGTGGATAAAGGTGTTATGTGAAAACTGGTATTTTCTTTTAAAACAATTTTTTTCGCAATATTCTTTTATTATAAAAGACTTTTAAGAGTTGGTTTCTATTAGGAATGAAATTACCAAATGCTAAAAGCGTTATGTTAACTTGGATTGTTGAATAAACAGTAGATAAAGGTGTTAAAATATGTTTAAATAAATAAATGTTTAAAAAAAAACCCAAAGAATTTTTACTTAATTCAATTACTTTACGAGGTATTTTTGGCAAAATTTTGCGAAATAATTGCGTTTTTTATTGAAAAATGTTTTAAAACGCTGGAAAAGAGCGTATTTAGTCTGGTATATGTATTAATTTTTTGGTGTGTTTTTTAGCAAAAATTAAAGAAAAAAATCTTCTTTTAGACTTAAAAACGCAATTAAATGTTTGAAAAAAGCATAAATAACATCATTTTCGAATTAATTATGTGATTTTTCGGCTTATTTTTGACAAAGTTTTGTGCTTTTGATTGAAAAAACTGATAAAACGTTTAGAAAAGCAGCCAGATGATTTTTCGGCTCAAAAACATGCTTAAACTCTCCAAAGAAGCAAAAATAATTTTAGTTTTGTGATAGTTCATTCATTTTTTACATCATTTCTTTCTGAGTAAAAAACGTCCTAAAACGGAAAAATGGTATTATTTTTGAACAAAATTTTTAGAACAATCTAAAAAAGTAAAAATAAGAGCATTTTTGAGCAAATTGAGCGATTTGTGACGAAATAATTTAGTAAATTTTTAATTGAAAAACATGTTTCAACCCAATTTGATAATTTTTTCAATATGTTTTAACAGAATCTTACAAAAAAACGTGATGTAAACAACCAAAATTCATTATTTTTCACTTAATTTGGTGACTTTTCGGTATATTTTTGTCTAAATATTTCGAGATAATTCCGTCTCTTATTGAAAAATATGGTGTTAATATGAAAAACCGTTTTTGAAAAGTCGATGAACTAGCTTTAAAATTACACCTAGTAAACAAGAAAAAACAAATCTTTTAAATGAGAATGTTTTAATTTTCGGGACAGCATAAAGTGGACTTTTTTATATTGTGTCCTTGGAATTTCATTCAGGTATAAATGTTTTGTTAAACTTGAAATATTTTGTAACTTGTTTTTTGGTACATAACACTTTTATCAATTTTTTAATAATGTAAACTAATGTATTATAGATCATATAAATTTGATCGTTAAAAAATCTATAAAAAAACATAATTACCTAGGTTTTCTTATAACAAGGAAACAATATTCACATAGGTCTTTATATATGATGTGATTTTTTTACTAAAAACAAATTAAAAAAAATATAAATAAAAATATTCACGTTGACTGCCATCACTTCACGCACCAAACTGAGAAAAGACAAGAAAATTTAATCACAATGTCGAACAGTTTTAGACATTTGAACGAAAAAATCTGCTGTGAACATCACACGACTTTCTTTACCCTACTTATTTTATCACATTTTACTGTTTAATAAGGTATATTTCATGATTCTTAATAATTTTTATCCCCATTAATTTATTTATTGTATCTTCAACCGTCCAGAAATGTAAAAATCTGAGTAGCCGATTACAAAGTAAAAAATCGGATTCAGAATCACTATTTCGCTATTTTTTTTAAATTTGTGTCGAAATAAATCTCAAGAAACTTAAAGACTTGTTTTATTTTTGCCCCAGTTATTTATTTCCCGTATCTTTTCATTCGTTACTCAACTCTCAGTGTTTTATTTGATAAATAAAAATATCTCGTCTCGGTTTTGTCCTTTCTTCTAATACTAGACCTAAATTTCTGTTAAATCTTACCAATTTGTTTCAAGCTTCATGTATTTGGCAAAACCACAATTTCACATTCATAGCAGCAAATTTAAATCGCGAACGTTTTTCCCCTAAATTTTAAAAGCTCGCTTAAACCGATTTCGCTCTTCTCCTGACAAAAAGAATATTTTCAAGCTGATTTTTACGCTCTAGACAGATAACAATGAATTACAAACCTTGACATATGATTCTTGATAAAATTTACGACGTGCTTTATTTTCCATACTTAATTCTCTCATAAATATGCAAAGTAGGAATGCTTCTTGATTTAGTGCGTGAAAAATATTAGCGAAAGCAGGAAAATCTTTCGAGTGGTAACCATTATGCATAATTATCCTGCCATTTTTAATCACTCTGGTCTTGAAAAGTGCATTCTCGACCTAGATTTTAATTGTGGACTCGTTAACAGGTGCATATGTAGTTTCTTAATTAAACCAGAGCTTTGCAAATAATTGGGGGAGATGCACCAAAAATAAGCATTTTTTATTCTTAAATAAATTTAAAAATTTGTGCATAACTAACATAAGTTTTAAATCAAAATTTCCACTTTTGCCATTAATCCGTATTTCGCTCATCGTTATTTGTTTAGTGGCAAAATAAAAATTTATTACTGCTATTATATCATGCCCCTTGATGTACATTTTGCATCGCAAATATTATATGACCGTAAAAATAACGTTGGTGGGAAATTATGATTTCATAGTCTGTATACAATGAAACTACTAAAGCTGTTTATAGTCGCTTTCAAGTCGCAAAAGTTATATTTTTATGGTTGAAAGCTGTGATTCCTTCAAGTTTTTAAGGTGGAAACCACAATTCTTATTTCATACAAATAGGAAAATGTCTATAAATTTTTCATTTATGTTCCTAGTTATGCATTTTTGTAACAAAAATGTGTTGGTAACTAGCACTCAAATTTATGTAAATAACTAACCTATATTTTATCGGGGCAATAAACTGGAGAAAATAAATACTAGGATTTTTGTTTATTATTTTATAATATAAAACCGATTTTTGAATCGTCGTTTTATCTCTATTTTAATTAATTTTGACAAGCTTATATTTACGTTATTTAATGTTGCCAAGTTTATTGCAAAGACGAAGGCCTCTTTAATCAAAAATTAAATTGAACACATTTAATGAAAAATAAAGTAAAATTTGAATCAAAACGAATGTAGTGAATAATTTGTTAAATACAAGTGGTCAGATAAAAAATACAGAGAAAAACATTTTTAATGTTTTGTAATTAAAAACTTTGAATTTAGAGAAAAACAAAAACACAAAAATTTAAGAAATATTAAGAAACCGAAACAGGAATGAAAAACACTCCATTACAAAAAAAAACCTTCTAAAGCAATAACTTAAATATAAAAAGCAAAAAAAATAAAGTTTGCTTTAAAACACAACAAAATTAAGGAAACAAAAATTGGAAAAAAATACAGAAAAAGAAACAAAATATTTTGTTTAAATACAGAGAAAAACACTTATGACTTATTAAGTTATTGTGTAATGGGTGTTTTTTTCGTAAAACGAAGAGATAAAGAAACTTCTTTTCCTGAAAACAGTGCAAAATATAAAAATTAAAAAAATAAATAAGTAGTAATTTTTTATTTAAACAACTAAAAGAACTTCTTTTATAATAACACTTTTTTAGTTTACATTCTCTAAGACAAAAATCATATTAGTTTCTGATTTCAGATAAACATCAAATTTTCATCGTTTTTCTAATCACTTGCACGTTTTTTCGAAATTGTTTATTTTATGTTATAGTGCTTTAACAAAACATTTCTTTATACCAAGTGAAACTAAACGTTTTTTGCTTAAACTATTTACTTTTTGGAAAAACTAATTAATGAAAAAAATGTGATGTTTTTCGAAAGTTGTAAAAAAAAATATTTTTTTTTAAATGGCAGCCTACTACAAAACTATTTTTGTCATGAAGGTTATGGTGTAATGATTACAACCATCTACTTTATATTTATTTTTTTCTTTTTAAATTTTGATAAAAAATCGTATAACTCAAAAACAAAACTTCGTTCTCAAAATACAATCGCATTTTTTATATTACTCTAATTTATAATAATTAAATATTTCGTATAATAAATCCTCTAAAGTTGCAATATCAAAAACAATAATTTGCAAATGTTCGTTGCGTTTTATCTCTATTTTAATTAATTTTGACAAGCGTATATTTACGTTATGTAATGTTTCCAACTTAATTGCAAAGAAGAAGGACTCTTTAATCAAAAATTAAATTAAACACTAAGTATTTCTGAATTATTATATAAATAACTTAAATAAAAAAAAAACAAAAAAGATAAAGTCTACTTTAAAACACAACAAAATTAAGAAA